GCAAAAAATCCTAGATAACATTGATATTCGTAGTCGATTACATCCAGATTAAGACACTGACTTTTTTACGAGAAGAATGGAGAAGTAGGATTCGGCAGAATGTCAAGCAAACGTGAAAATTCGTAAAGATTCTGGTAAATCTCACCCCAGTTGTTTATCTACATCCAGTATAGTAAGACGCATAAATTGATATGATGTTTTTCATCGGTACTCCCCATCTGCCCCTCTACTTCAAGCATCCCTGCATGAAATGATAGTTGAACCGCGAGGATGGATTATTCGAGCTCATCTGATAACTCGGTTTGGAAAGATATGACGGAAGGCATTTTCTTGTCGCAACTGAGTGAAATTGTGGCATGCGATGGCAGAACAACATACCGGTCAGTTTCAAGTGGATGAGGCAAATCACGTGGTTCTGGATGCATTACGTTGAGAAAGACCCTTTCTTCCCCTATTCTTGACTAGAACAACGGATTTTGGGGTCAAGGATAGCATTCAGTCATATTTAAAGTGAGCGATGATGAAAGAAATGAGGAAGAAAAGTTGTGGTAACTATGCATTGGTTGATGACAACCAGCTCTAGAGCCTGTCAATTTCTTCACTTCTTTCACACACCTCACAGAAACTTTTCTTTGGAAAATCACTGTTTGCTTATCCACTGTGTTATGGTGAAAAACGGCTTTTGAATCGCAACAGCTGTTAAGTCATGCATCTCAGCCCCACAAGAGACGTTCCTCATAAACTGTTCACATACTTCAAGGCCAACCTTTCACCTCGATGCGATACATCTCGAGAGTGTGCAAATAAAATTTCATCAATTGAAGCGGGAAGGGCTGTCAGGATCGGGCAATCGGTGGAGTCACTTTTTTTTGAGATAGCACAAGACCCCACATCGCATTGCGCAAAACTGACCAGTGGGATAGTCTGAATTTTGTTGCGATGGGAGAGAGGGAGAAAGAGAAGGAGGAGGCTGAAAGGAAGGGGGGCTGGAGGAAGGAGGAAGGATATTGCTTCATCCTCCACTTCCTATGCCTCCTCCTCATGCTCCGCATCTCTCTGGTGAGATTTTGCCAAGCAATGAATATGACATTTTCCTTTTAGCATTACAGGTTCAATGATTAAAAAGTAAACGGGGATGAAAATGAGATGAAATTTTGGGAATTTTGGCACAAAATCGAGGTACACCGTCTATGCTAGAAATAAAACAGATTTTGACCTATATACTTATCTCCGACACCCACACAACTCAGAATATTTTACTAGAGTTTGATTGGGCCAAAACTTTTTCAAGGAACCATGTAAGTAAGATGGGATGATGGCATAAATATTTTCCGACCAATTTCCTATTGCAAAATGACGTCTTACCTTGAGTCGTATTGGACAAGGTGAAACAATGGGGAGATTGAAGGGATTCGAGTAGCAGAGACCCTTTTCAGGGGGCTCAGAGTCGACTGATACTGGCAGAGGGGAGTGCGTGTCCCCTGAAGAGTCATTTTGGGTTCCTCCTTCTCCTCCTCTTCCACCTCCTCCACTCCTTGATCGACGGTTGTAGTCGAACTCAAGGCATTGAGGCAGGGTGTCAAAGGACTGTGGCATTGGCGCTGTCACGTAAAAGCTGCGTCCTGTCTCATGCGGTTTCACGGTGGGGGCCACAGGAATGGATGCTGGTAGGTTGTGCTCCATTTCAACCTCTTGGCCATCTCCTCCAACCGCCCCAAAGTAGAAATGGCGTATTTCTGTAAACGATGGTAGGTAGAAAAATAGTATGTTTTGACTTGCAACAAATATGAGGCAGTAAAAACGGGAGTTAACAAAGCAAAAAACGGGTAAACTGGAATAATAAATGTACCTATTAATCTACCAATCTATAGACATATATTCCTCCACATTCCTCCGCCTTCTACAATAAAATGAAAGCAGGATTTCCAGCCCACTGAACTGGAACACGAGTTATTTTTTTCCCGCTTTGTGGGTGGTGGTCAAATCGCCTTGTTTTGAATTTTGCTGTGTTTCCTCAAGGTAAAGTGGAAACAGCAGGACTGAACGCTGACTCAAAGTACTAGAGCCCAAAGACTTTAAAAGAATAATCTTTTGTTTTGATAAAAATTGCATGATTCAATCATTTAAATATATTAAGGTAGGAAATGGGAGAAATTTCTAATAAATATGGCTTCAATTCGGATTATCACAGCTCCTGATGGCAAGATGGTTTGATATTCCAATGCGCCTTTTTTTTACTGAAATTCAGAGTACTTTGCATTGTATTTCACTTTTAACCGCTTTTAAAGTGCAGTATGGGACTTGAATTTTGATCCATACGTAAAGTGATTCCAAATTGGCTTTATATAAACAAAAGTACGTCGCGGTATGTGTAGGTGGGTTTGTTGCATTAGTGAAATGATAATGAACTCGCCTTTAACGCACACCCGAAATACTGGACTCAGAAAGAGACTATTAACCGCAAGGTGTTTGAGATCAACAAGAGAATAGTGGCAATCAACCTGATCTCTAATAAAGTAAAGTAATTTGCCAGGATCGCGGTCGTCTCCAGAGAGAATTGAACCAATGGGTGGCAAAGAGGAAACCTCTTCCAGGGTCTAAAAGGTAGAAGAGTAAAGTTGTAAATATCGGAATCAAAATCCACTCACTTATTCATACTACTTAAAGGTTATTTGAAAAATCGGGTACTGACGAAGCTCTAACAGTCGTAAGTTTTGTTTATCTACATCAAGAAAAGTATATAGATTTCCTGGTATTTCGAAGAAGCAAGATGTTTAGCAGAACTCGTGTCGAAGTAAATTGATAATTCATTATTCATTGTCACATTACTTAAACCGTCAAAATAAATAAGGAAAACTGCCTAAAATTAAAAATGAGACAAAAATTTAGGGAGAAATTATTTCAGTTGAGGTTCTGGCTAAAAAATTGAGACCCCACTTTATACTTTAAGCAATTATAATTTGCGGAGGTTTTTTTGGGAAATACCCTTGCGTGTTTCTGTTTTAATATACTTGTTGTCGAACTAGTTGTTACTATGACGTCCTTCAAACTTTCATTCCTTCCAATAAAGAGAATCTTGTAATTGGATAAAGAGACCCATTTTTACGCAGTGTTTTTTCTTTGAAAAGAATATTACTAATGGTTGAAGATTTATGCTCAAAATAAGAGACAAGTTGCCCCACCTTTTTTATCAGTCCGAGAAGTGCGTTTTTTTGTCCACGATTTGGAGAAGAGACGACTGTTTGAATAGCCCCTTCAGTAGTAGGGCCATCTTGATGTTCTGCCTCGAGCAGGACCATTGTCCATGACATGTGGAATGGCCAGTGCTGGGTCAGACAGATCCAGTTAACCAACTGCTTAATTGAGACAGATGCGGAACTATGCTTAATCAGACGACCTACAAGAGGTGGAAGCAAGTATAGTATATGATGACAAAAGGGACTGCTCTCTAAATTTTGTTGGCAAAAGGGCTTTAAATTATTTGCAATTCTAACATTATATGCTAAAAGCTGGGAAGAAAGCGTAAGGGAGTCGAAGGTGCTTCCAGGAAATGATATTCTGCCATGGGTTCATAAAATGTAGCCAATCGAAGTGTAGTAAACATTTATCTACTGCGCAAAGGCGAACAAAATGAAGAGGGATAGAAATATCTTTTGCATTAACTTCCGTTGTAGTTTGGAGCTATCCTAGTAGTCCATCGCCCCGACTCCTAGGACGTGTTACTCCCTTGGAGGCTCTAGTTGATTGTACAGAACCAGGAAAATTCAATAAGCAATTTCGACGGCAATTTTAGGCTCTACTTCAAGGATTGTATTAAAAGAAGATCTGGTCAGCCGAGACAGTAAATGGTAAAATAGGACGTGAGGAGTATCATGCATGAAGCTACTTATTACCCAGACAGATTGCTGAAAAGTAGCAAACTGAGTGAGTCGTTTTACTGTGCTTTATTATTTTTATATTTGGAAATTTTTACCCTCCAATTGACAATAATCCCATAATACTGCTCCTTGGTTAATTGGACTTCACTCAAGTACTGCAGTAATGACTGACACGGAAGAGTAACCGTAGAAAGCACAGAGACCATTCAGAACAATAACACTGTCATTTATTGCCCACATGAAGTAATAATACTCCCCACGGTAATTAGGTCAGTCCTTTTACTACCCTCTATGTTTATGATAAAACCACAGTTTGGGGTCTTCATGCTCCTCAATTCTAACCAACATCCCATTCTCGTACAGGGTCACTGAAGGGGTCACAATCGCTGAGGTTGAGTCAGGAACCTGCATTTCCTAATCAGCAACTACAAAAGATAATTCTTCAACTTATTTGAAGAATTACTTAACCATGAAGAAGGCAAAAGCGGCAATTCATTAGAGTCCTATTGCTCTAAGCAGGCCCAACTCAGCCCTTCCATGACCATTATGTGGTGTTCAGTGGCTCGAATCAGTGCGACTTTTGTCTCCAACCAACCACTTTATTTGCGACCAAACGCGTAAGACAAATGAGGAAGGGAGGCACATAGGGCACGAGAGCGTAGGAGCAAAAGAGGGGGAAAATTAGGAATAAAAAATAATCTGGAAATTCGGCATAATTTGATAATGGTGGAAAGCCACCTGGTGGTTAGATTTGAGGCTCTCTGGCTTGCGTGTGCAAAGTCGTGATAAGAATCAAGTAGTAAATGCTCCGCCTCGGTAATTTACAGTGCCCACAGTTGGGTGTACGCGCATTACTGCGAGAAATTTTGCCTCTGGAGAACTCTTATCCTATGCGCGAGGGATAATAAACAAAGGGGGAAAATGTGGTCGGTGAAAAGGCACGAATCGTTTTTTGTAGATTAGAGGCATAAATTCCTGCGGCTCCATTGTTTTAACTGGTCCTTATTCAATGAATTCATAGTTTCTGCAAAAATTAGTGGTTGATTTAAAACAATGTAAACTGTCTGAGATTAAATGACAACGAATTCTCCACTAAGTTTTTATTCTTGCTCATTTCTTCCTTTTGCCTCTTTCGGAAGTAATAATAAACTCCTCTGAAAACTTCAATCTTATTCCCTTGGTCTTTCGTCTTGAAGCCATGGCCCTGCGGTAGTGTTTATAGACTTCAGGTTCCTCTGTACATCAAGAGAAACCGTTTTTCTCTATCAATATTCGGGGAAAAGTCAAGTCGTTCCAACTTTTAATGGATCCTTTAAACAAACAACTGTTGAACGGCATAGAAACGGCCTAGGAATTAGTGCAAGACTGGTATATTCAAACGACCAAACCTCTGTTTTCACCTCTGAATTATTTACTTCACATGAGATTGTGAAGTGATATTCATCATTTGGAGAAGCACCATCAGGGAATAGGAAGGATAAGGGGGGATGGTATTGGCCTCCCTTCTCTCCCTCTCTCCCAGCCCAGCAAAAGTGCAATTCTTCTCACGGGTCCGTATCGTTGTGGTATGCGAATGAGACGTCCTCACGACTTGTTAACCAGACCTGGATGAATCTCAGATACAAATATTTCTTCACTACCCTCAATTGGTTTTGAGTAGGCAGATCATAACCGTAGTTGTTTTAGTTTGAATGTACGGTAGTGATGTGAAGAACATCAAGTTGGCAGTTTTTGACGTTTACTATCCGTCATCTGTTAATACATCCATTGCTTATCGGTTTTCACGACGTTTCTTTCCCCGATTGCGTGGGTGTCCACTGGGTTAATCCATCATCCCTCATGCAAAACATGATTGAAATTTATGTTTGATAACAGCATTCCCAATAACCAGAAATAGTTCCTTCTAATCAAGAAAAGGAAATAATTAATCAACCATCAGAACCAACCTATTCCTTTAAACCTTGTTCCCTTGTCAAATAGCGTACTTCCTTCATTTTTTGGTAAAATTGTTTCAAATGTAAAAGTTCCTTACTTGCAAAAGCAGTCTCAGCCACCAGAGTTCTGATGACAGGGACATTCAGTTCCACCAACTCCTCATTGGCGAGGAAGATCTCGGCAATTCCCTTGGCTCCTGCCCTCGTTGAGGTCATTCTCGAGGTGTTAACATTTTTCACCAGAGCTGGGGATGTACTACTACTACTGCCAGACTGTTGCTTCAGTAGTAGATGTTGTTGCTGCAACTGATTTTGGGCGCTCAAACTCGTGGTGGACTGAGCCGACTTAATAACTGTCGACGGCTCACTAATGGCTTCCCCTGAGGCGAGACCAAGTTCCTAGCCAAAATTAAATCAAAGAAGATAGCTAAGCTCCCTAGATTCTTCTGTTTTGAGCAATCTATGTACCAATGGTGCAGTCCATGTCAACATGCTTCTGTTTGGGGACCTCAATGTTAGCTTGACAGTAAGTATCAACAGCTACACACGGAAAGATAAAATAGAAAGAGGTAAATGAACACTCGGTAAGGACTGACAAGGGGCCATTTTCTACCCAATTCTATCAAGGTGTCATATAATGCTTGATTCGGGATCCCAGCTCCTATGGTCTCACATATGCTCAGTCATCTACCTGAAACAAGGAATCCCAAGCACAGAAGTAATACGCCCTAATGCTGACTTTTGTTCGTGGTGCGAAATTGTGTATCAACGCATTAAATTACCGGGCTGTTAAATTCACTACTCACTCGCAGGAGAGAGAAATACCATTTACACGGGCGGAAGTGAATTACTAAATGCAGCAGCAGCAGCAGAAGAAGAAATGGCTGCACAAATTTCATGCATAGTGGAATGATAAAAGGAAATGCGCCTTTTATAAAAGCTATATTAGCATCCAGTAATTTGTACTTTATACTTAATGCAAGTACTTAAAAGCAAATTAATTCCTTACTTATTATCTTAGGTGTTTAAGCCAAAGCGGGACTTTGGGCTTAGCAAGAAACACCACTACCACACACAGCAGTAAGGTGACGGGCATCAGCAAAAGAAACAGATGATACTACTCTACAACGCAAAAGTTGTCTCTGTGTAATAATCTCACTGATGTGAAAGAGACAAGTTGGTCTAGAAGAACGACGGCCTCCATCATTCATGCAACTTAGAAGGATTAGTGAAAGCTGGATGCCAAAGCATATTTACTTTCCTCATCAACACAAAATACTTAAATGTCTCCTTAAGTCCAATGGATTGAGGATACCGGAATTGCTCAAAGTATACCTCGGACGTCAGCATTTGAACACCGGTTTTGAAGTGAAACACGATGTCCTCTGAACTGGACGCCCCTTGTAGAGCCTTGGACGCTAATGATATACTTAGTTTTGTACATACAGGAGAAATGAATGCTTCTAACTATCAGTAGCATGTTCTTACCTCAGCGGAGGTATAGGCCTGGTTAATTTGACCAGTATTGCTCCCAATGCTGTTTTTTGAGCGTGCTATTTGAGGGTGCTCTCCATTTCTAGCATCTTCTGGCACGACAGTTGATAAGTGTGGCGAAATCGGTGTGGTGTCAGCAAAATTTTGAAATAGGGTGCAGAGATTTTTGGCTCCAAGAAGCCGTTGAAGTATGGATGGGTTTGTCTTGATCGTAGCTGCACCCAGGAAGATGGGTAGTTGAACACTGAAGAGCACCAGATGATTGCAATCTGCAATGCCTCGGAGGAGATTGAGAGCCTCACTGAGTTCTCCTGATTGACTCCCTTGGAAGACGGTGTCATCTGGATGAGGCGTACTTGAAGACTTCTCATAAAAGGCCTGACGTGGAAAGGTAACGGCAAGTTATTTCTCTTCACGTTGATATCGAAGAGGTGATTTAAAAAATGGTAAAACCATCTTTGTCTTTTTTCTAAATAAATGGTCCGTCTAACTTGACAGAGTTGTTGGGGCCTGCTGCGACCCTAGAAAGCGTCTCTGGTTCAATGTTCTAGAAGTTTTATTTTTGACTAGTTCTTGAACATCCTGTCTCTTCCTATTGTTCAACATTACTGGCATAGAGACTTCACTTATATGGATAAACACTATGAGGTCAAGGTTAATCAAACCCATGAGCTTGGCGGCCCCCTTAGTTGACCAGCTGTCGTGTTCATGTACATGCTGCATCCCGTGCTTGCTGGCTCAATAAAACAATGGATCCATCGGTAGCTGCAGCGTAGAAATTTAAAAAATGGTAAAATTCCGCGAATTTAACATTCTCTCTTTTTTTTAATTTGTTCCTAGTAGAGGTTTTTTCTTAAATGACGTGAACTTTTGATCGAACGTTTAATTGTACCGGTTCTTCATTCTGCAAATGCTAGAGTATTCGCGAAGTCAAAATAATGATTCTTTGATTAGAATGTGCTATTATATAAAACGGTGTAGTTGTTTGTGGAATCGAAAACTGAATACTACTTAAATAAGTTGACAGTAGCTTGACAAAGCTGATGTTGTCAAGGTAACTCACGGTAACATTTGTAGCAATGACGAAGGCGATAGGTGCATTTGGCTGAGTGAGCAAAAGACTGTGGACTTGGTAGAATACACCAGCAAGTTGTACGGCTGAAGTGGCCTCTGTAGCGTCAATCATGACCACCAGACGAGTCTGTTCAATATTCTGAAGGTAAAAATTGAAGGCGTGCAGCATGTCACAAATATTGGCGAATTCCTTTTTGGCCAAAATATCCACTTCACAGGAGGAGGTGACTGGAAGCACATCAGCTGCTTCTAGACTGCTTTGGAGGAAATTTCCGTTTAGCTTGACAGAACTACTGCCACTGCCAACTCTCGCGGTTAGGCTATCCAGGAGGGGAGTTCTCTTCTTATGCTTCCCCCAGGGTTCAGAACTCCCCGTGGCGTAGCTCTCAATAGCCTTCACCAGTGGCGTTTTTGGCCGATAGAAGTAGGCGAACGCTGCATTCGCAAGGGACGGAACGGACGCACAGACACCAAGGAAGATGACTGAGCTCATTATCACAAAAACTGGCAAAACTCGCATATCGGTGAGCATGGCGATTGTGTTGAAATCAAAGAGACGCAGCAGAAGGAGGTCAATGAGAATTGCAACGCCTACCAAAGTGACCACCACATAGGCTGGCAGACAGCAGATTCGTTTGTAGGCTCGCTTGGTGGACACTAAAACAAGGGAGTAAACAATTGATTATGCTACATGTATAAATGGCCAGTTTGCTACTTATATCCATTATAAGTAGATATAAGGAGATTACTCACAAGGGTATGTGCTCTGGTGCATGAATCTCTGCAGCCGAACAACGACGGGATTGTATTGTCTCTCCATGGCTAGCCACATCAATTTGAGTAGCATCAGAATGAGGTGTGGAGTATTGGGTGATTGAGGAAGGTCATATTTGACGATTTGTAGTCTTAAATAAATAATTTATATTGCTAGTTATGCCAGAGAGTGTGCGTCTCAAAGAGGCAATTGCATAGGGTGATAATCAACTGTGATTGCGTTTCGCGTGGCCTTGAAGGCTAATAAAACGGCAGTAAAAGATATTTTGGAGGGGAAAAGAACTAGATTGAGAGTCGATAGTAGATAGAAGTATATATTGGATGAATTTTTCCCAATTTTGGCTCTTTTAAGAAAAAAACTAGTGTCGCTGTTGATTTTGGAAGTGCAACAAATAGATATATCAATTTTAATTTCATTTTTTACAGAGAAAAAACGGAAACAAAATCCCTATTTAATACAACATCATCGAAAGCTCAACATGTGGAATTGTGTAGGCTGCCTTTGTTGTGATCCCAATTGAGTGGAATGACGGAATGCGAAAGCAGGGAAGGTGTGCAGTACTTGGGGATGAAGACACGACTTCATTATTAGTAGCTTAAAGCAAAGTAGTTTTTGCCTTGATTGACAAAAAAATACTCGGAAATCTAAGTATCCTAAGTGCCAAAGCGTGCTTAAAGTGGTTGTGGTTCCTCACGCCTCCCACCCCCTCTCTCTCCTGCCCACCAACTCCTTTTATCAGGCCCGATTTCAAATGCACGCGTGAGCCCCAATGAAAGCAATCGCCATCCCTCTCTCTCGTTCTCGACTCAATTAAAAGCTATTATGAACAGTTCGAGGTCACGCAAACGTATAACTGACTTTGATATAGACGACTGATACTAGTGGGAAGCGATCACGAGAGATAACTGTGGGATGTAAATAATAATAATAACAATAATAATAATAATAATAATAATAGTAGTAGTAGTAGTAGTAGTAGTAGTAGTAGTAGTGGTGGTGGTGGTGGTGGTGGTGGTGGTGGTGGTGGT